CATTTTAGAAGAAAGACCCTTAAAGTTAATCAAACGTTCCTTATAAAGAGGGTAAGAGCCAAGTCGTTGGTGAAGAGAGAGACAGACCTGGCCAAGGTGGGCACCTGAAATAATCCCACCTCCTCTGGCCACCCAGGGGCCCCGGAGGGAAGAAATTACAGGACAAGTCTGCCAGGTGCAAGAGTCCTCCTGAGCCTCAGGAGGACCAAGAAAGAGGAAAAGGTATTGTTTGTAAGGTGAACCTGGAGCAGAGGCTGAGGCGTGGGCGCCAGGGCGGCCAAGGGCGAGGCGGGCAGCAGGTGAAGGGCTGGAGGCAGTTTTCACGCAAGCTTCCGGGTGTCCAACAGGCCTGCTCCCACTCAGGGACTCTGGCCCTCAGAAAAAAGCAGATGCACATTTATACCTTGTAAGTAAGCCTAGGCTAAGATTACATTAAATGAGAAGGAGCTGCATGGCGTAATGAAAAAACCTGGGAGTTAAGTCAAGGACCTGGGTTTTTATTGAGTCCTGCTTCTGTTGTTTACTAGACTGTGTGCCTCCGGGCCAACCACTGAGCATTCCCAAGCCTCAGCTCTCACCTAAGGAACAGAACCACCTATCCTGCCTCCCTCACAATGATGTGGTGGGCGTAAGAGTGGTGAGCAGAGGGCACTTGTCAAAGATGTGTGCACATATGGAGCATTACACTGGCAGTGATGGAAGGACCCCACCCGGAGGTGCTCGTACACATGACTGCCTTCCAAGTATTAGACTTGAGATATGTGTCTGTGTATAGTTACATGTAATATGTGTAACTACATATATCTTGTCACCCATAATTACATATAACACAGGCATATATAAAACCATTTGATTTATACTACCTGTTCACATATGTAAACAACAGTATTTCATATTTAATCGGATTTATTCTAGATACATGCCGAAACAAACTTGGTCACAAGAAATGATCAGGGCATTTAAAGAAAAGCAAAAGGAAGATGAGCCTGAATCTCAAAGTCCAAGAGGCCACATAGGAAGGTAAATCAGTGTCTTGATCAAATGGCTGCTGCATCCTTGGCCATGGAGCTGACTCTTTGACACTCCCACCTTAATTGAGGAAATGACAACCAGAAACAACCAGAGAACAAAATAAGGCAGTAAAATCAATTAGTCTGGGTGAGACTGTGTGCTCTACCTTTAATAGCTCTAGAAGTTTAAAGGGCAAGAGCATTAGAAGCAGGGTAATCAGGACAAGCTCTGTGGAGGCGCCACACCAGGGGCAGAGAGAGACGAGCAGAACTGGAAGGGCAATGGAAGCAAGGGGACAGCCCGGTAAAAACGTGCAGAAGGAATAAAGACAGTAGATTGAGCAACATGAACAAAAAGCTCACTGTTCGCTGTTGCTTAGCCCTCTGGAAGAGCTGATGGGCCTACCAGAGCCTGAGGAGAGGATAATGTGCTATCTGTGCCGGATAGACAACCTGGCCATTAACTGCAAGAGGCAGTATCATGTGTAAAGCAAGGGGAAGGGCCATTTGCAGGATCAGGGGCCCATACCCCCCTTTGCCCACCCTCCACTCTCTCATTTTCCTTCCACCTTTTCCAACATGATGAACATTTACTCGGCGCCAACCATGGAAGAAAAAGGCAAGACTCTCCTTGGGGAGCTAGATATAAAAGTAGGTAAGACAGAAGCCACGAAGCACCAAGTAATATTGATACCACTATCAAAAAAAGGTGAAACAGCAGAGGGCTAGTAAGGCTGGCTAGGTAAGATTTCTTGGACTAGATAGATGGTGCTTGGCCAAGCCTTGACAGAAAACTGAGATTCACAAAGCTAAGAGTCGGCAAGGGACCATTACAGACAAATGTGAATCAAGGCAAGGTATGCTCGATGATGTGGATACATTTAACATCACTGAACTGTACATCTAAAATGAGTAAGATGGTAAATTTTGTTAAGTGTATTTTATCACAATTAAATTTTTTAATTAAAAAAACCCCAGGTGCTTCCTCTATTTGCAGTAGCCAAGATAGGGAAGCAACCTAAGTGTCCATCAATAGATGAATGGATAAAGATGTGGTACATACTCACAAATACCCACGATGGAGTATTATTCAGCCATGAAAAGAAATCCTCCCATTTGCAACAACATGGATGGATCTAAACGGTATTAGGCTCAGTGAAATAAGCAGGCAGAGAAAGACAAATACCGTATGATTTCACTTATTTGTGGAGTGTAAAAACAAAGCAAAACAGAAGGAACAAAATAGTAGCAGACTCATAGACACAGAGAAGGAACTAGTGGTTACCAAGGGGAAGGGGTTGGGAGGGAGGAGGGAGAAGGGGATCAAGGAGAACAATAATTCATTATCACAATGTAGGTTGGTCATGGCGATGGTGGTACAGCACAGAGAATACAGTTAATGATTCTGTAACATCTTACTATGTTGACAGACAGTGACTGCACTGAGGGGTGAGGACTTGATAATACGGGTGAATGCTGAACCATTGTGTTGTGTATTTGAAACCAACATAAGATTGTGTATCAATGATACTTTAATTTAAAAAAAACCAGGTGCTTCCTAAAAAGAAATTGTTTATAAAGACAGTCGATATGAATACACAGTGCCATTTGTAGCAAGGAATAAGCTGACTGATCTGATTTTGCAGACAGTCTGTGCAGAGAGGCAATGGGAGATTTGGCAAAGAAGTAGATTAAAGATGGATTGTGGGAAACCTCATGTCAGGTGGCACTTGATTCTCTCATCCAAGGTTTCTAACTTTGTGGCCCAAGAATGGGTTTCCAGGTAAGAGAATTAAATGAATTAAAACACTGTATGAGCCACAGAAAATAGTCCTGGGGAAGATGAAGTGGTACCAGTGTCAAGAGTAAGAGAAGTTAAGGAAGATAAGGAATGAGAAAAAAGACCTCTAAATGGAATGACTTTCTGATGCATAGTTTCTGTAGGGTGATAAGAGGTCAGGGGTTAAGCATAAGTGTCCAAACTGGGGCACTTGTAGAGGAGGGAGGTGCTATTGATAATTATGTCAGAACATAAACCAGGCATAAACCAGGACTATCCTGGGTAAACAGCTACACAGATAGTTACCTAATGGAGGAGGAAGTTAGTAGTACAGCCAGAAAGGCAGCAGACAGCATCTTGTGAAAAGAAAAATAGGACACTCAGAACTAGTAGGGATAAGAACAGGCTTTACCAGTGACCTATCTGGAAGGCAGAGTAGAGTTCTGGAGGTTTAAAGGAGAAGGGAAGGTGTGAAAGGATGACAGCGTCCTGTATCCTCCACCCCACTGAGCAGCAGATGCACAGAGAGGGCCAGAGGACATGTCTTGTATGAATGTTCACTGTGGGACTCTGGTCCTCCAGGAAGCAGGAAGAACAGAATAATCAGGACAGGGGAGGGGCTTTTCTTCCTTTGCAACTATAGGGAAGAAGAAAACAGAAAACCCCATACGGTAAGAAAAGGCAGAACACAGCACTTTATTTCAACCTAGTGAGTATGAGAGATCTGGCTGTCAGAGAATGCACTTCCAAATTAGCTTGCACTATGGCCTTTACTTCAAGGGAAAAAAGTTAGCAAGAAAGTGAGGTTAACTCTTAGAGGGGTTTTTAAAGGCAATTCCTACATAGATTCCCAAACTAGAATAAGGAAATATATCCACAGTGCAATACATAATTCCATTCAGTACTAAGTGCTTCATTTATAATATCATTTCAGGTACCCCTGGCAGGAGGTTTCCCACAATCAGGTACCTTCTTCAGGTACGTCTTGCTAAGAGGTCAGGGGAATACTCACCCAGCTAAATTTAAACTGGGCAGGAAAACAATGGTTGGCGGCAGGATGCTAAGACGCAGCCTGATTAAGATTCTGATTATGTGGGGGGAGAGGAAAGTCTCTCAGCCAAATGTGAGAAAGTAGTTAATAGTAAAAATGGGGTCATCTACTGATAATTCTTACAACTAGGCGACTCATCCAAACTTAGAACAATCTGACACGGAGGGGAAGGAAGGCTTTCACGGCACCTGAAAGAAACGGGGCCATCCCAGCACCGAGAAGGGGAGAAGCTGTAAAATCCGGCCACACCGTAGCACCAGTGAATGGGCACTAGGGAACACTGAGCTGCTGGAAATCATAAGGCATGAATCACATTCTAAAACGGGGACTTCCAGTACATACTGAAATAACCAGACAGCCAGATATTTGTTATAAAAGTCAGTTTATTTTCCTTTCCTGTGTTTCATATTTTCCTTTGCCAGTAATGAACAATTAACTGATTGGAAATCTCCTTGATTAAATAATATTACCACTTAAGATCATAAAAACACACCACACTTCAGAGTATAAAGCAGGAGGCTGAAAATATTCCCTACCCACTGTAAATTAGCCCACAAAATTGCACATTCTCCCCCACTTCTCTTACAGAATTTAAAATATACAGAATGACCTTAAAATAGTGATAATTAGTATAGAACTCACAGGTTTAAAGACATACCCTCTACCGTCTTTGAAAGAACAGATACCTAAATGCCCCTCAGACCCCAGTTATCCATTAATGTGATTCAGTGTCACATTCTTCATGCTTACTAGGACAAAGGGTCTTCCCTTTTCTCCAGTCTTCTTCTGAGGTAACTCAAGGAACCACGTAGTGACAGAGACCAATCCTCTGAAAATACGGCAAAGCAGATTAGCTTCCTAATGGATCCTGAACTTCCCAGACAACAAATCTGGGGCTGAGGACTTCGAACGTGAATTACACACTAGAATGTTCACAGCTGATTTGCCTTATGGTCCTTGAAAGGAAGACTAAATCGTTCCTGGAGTCAAAGTTAATTTTGAATGAAGATGGAGGAGATCAAGTTGAAAATAATCTGAGGACACTCCTGTTTCTGAAGCTGAATGACTTTAGATCCGATACAGAGTGACTGAGTCAATCAGCCTGTAGTGTGATTTTTTTTCCCACCGTAGTTAACAAAGGGATTCTTTGTCTACAGCGAATGCCTGATCCAGCTGGAGCACTTTATCAGGATTTGGTGCTTCAAAGATGAGCCACTCTCTGCAAACTCATCACCAAAGCAAAATGCAACGATCCTTTCTGTTCATGGAGCGTGTCATTGATACAAACCATGCACAGTCACTCAACTTCCCAGGCTGGAGAACTAGGATCCAAGTCCAACAGGGCATTTAAGGTTAAAGGGATAAACCCCAATGGGCCAAAGACAGACGCTGGAAGATTCATAGGCCGTTCAGTACATTCATGAAGCAACAATAAAAATCATCATCAACAATTTCTGTAGTGCAGAAAAACAGCCCATCTGACTGCCAGTCAGCTCTCAGGTGGCCAGCACTGTCTAAAGAAGCTTGACAATCTGAGGTTGTGTTGGAGCTCTTAAGATAATCCCCAAACAGGGTGAATTAAAATAAAAATAGTCCCGGTGTATATCCCATTGTTCTTGTCTCCTGTGGATACTGCTCGCTCACTCACTCAATATGCGAGTCTGTCGTCTTTGTACCAGATAGCATAGTTCCCTCACTATTAACGGTGATATAAATACAATTGTACAACTTGTCTGCAGAGAGAAAAAAGCATTAAATATGCAGTGACAATTTAATTAATTGTTAGAGCATCATGTTCTGAACATAATAATGAATTTGGACAATTAGATTCATTTTGACTTCATACAAAGATAACTCAATCTTTAATATTAAAAGAAAATGATTTTGAAAATTACAGTCAATACTACAAAATACTTAATGTTACATAATCTCCAAAAAAAGAACTAAGGTATGCAAATTAAATAATTTGCCATACACAGAGCAGAAATTTGGTACTGCAGCTGTTAAAAACAAATAGATCCAGTTTTCTTTCTATTAGAACTTCTGGTGTGATCACACCAGCAGCAGGTTCATCAGGAGGGCTTTCCTTCTATCTAGCACAGATGTCAGAAGTAGAACACAGAGTTGTACGGTCCAGCCTTTAGAAGCTAGGCAGTTAGGCAGAAGAAAGCATCTTCTGTGACGGCAGAGGACATCAGCCTTTAGGCGGCTCCAGGGACTTCCAGGAGCTGAACTATCCCTCAGGCTCCTCAGACACGGCTAGAGGACAATGTCTGGACTTGGGGCAACAGAGGCTGCCTCCAAGTGGGATGCACGAGATTCCGGGATGCGACACCGAATGCATCCCCTGCTGGGTGAAGCTCTCTCAAGTAGACCTGGTCTTGAGCACCATTTCACCAATAATGTAAGAGTATGTCACATGCTTATTCAACAGACAGCAACATTTTAAAAGCATAAAGCCTTATTTTGTATTGGCTATTTCCAGAAAGTATACAATTCCAGCCAAGATTGTCTCAGGCACAAGAAATATTTTCTCACAAAACTCTCATCACTTCAGAACCTATCCACCGTAGTGTTAATCACTTTTCAAACCTGAAGTTGCCTGGTGTAATTTCCTTCAAAATTCCTAGATTCTACTTAACAGAGAGAGTATTCTGGAAGAGTACACTGATTAATAGTCGGTGATACTTCCAATAAGGCTCATCATTTTTTCCGGAATTATAAATGAAAACACTCAGGAGGCTCAGGCCAAGGGAAAACTAAGGGCCCTTTCCTTCCTGAAAAAAGAATGTCTTTCACAGTAAAAAAAATGCTACTTTTCACAAAAGGGTCTCTAAAAGCAATCACCAATTCTGCTTGTTTAAGAGATGATTTAAGTAAATGCTTTGAACTAAATCAGTTAGAAAAACTACTAGCTAAGGAAAAAGAAAAAAGAGGACACACACTTACCATAAGAATGAAAAAGTAGAAAACCCACATCCACCCTAGGTTGTCCTGGATCAAAGACACTAAATACTAAAAGGGAGAAAAGGAATAGAACATAATCCTTTATAAATTAATAAAATAAAGTAGCTAAAAGGTAAAGCAAACATGGCCCTTTTAGAAAATATGAAGGCATTAGGATTTGCATAGTGACCTGCAGTTTACAAAGCTCCTTCACATACATGCTCCTGTTTGAGTTTTATTAGCGGCCTTCAGCTTGCAGAGTTTAGGTACAAACACTATGTAAGAGAAGACAGGAATTTTACTTTTATTCACTTTGCTATTAAGAGAGGAAGATGAACAATCTCAAGCCATTTGTTTAACTGTTCCTTCTTCCAGTGAAAGGTACAATAATCGATACTTTCAGAAATAGTTTACCTTTTAATTTTTAAGTATGCTGCTCAGTTTTCAATTATGCTATTTGCTCATAAAATTACTGTACAGCTTTAACATTATACAGAATATTCTTTTACTTTATTCTGATTACTGAAAAGGATTTCATTATATTTTACCCACTTTTTTATTACAGTAAAATATATATAACACAAAATACTCCAGTTAAACATTTTTAAGTGTACAGCTCAGTGTCATCAAGTACATTCATAACGCTGCACAACCATCACCACTATCTATCTCCAAAATTTTTCATCACCCTCCACAGAAACTCTATAGTCACTGAGCAGTAAATCCTCATCACCTCCTCTCACCATTCCCTGGTAACCTCTAATCTACTTGCTGTGTCCATGAAAGTGCCTACTCTAGACAGTTCATGTTAAGTGGAATCACACAATATTTGTCCTTTCGTGTCTGGCTTATTTCGCTTAGCATACTTTTTCAAAGTTCATGTTGTGGCCTGTGTCATAACTTCACTTCTTTTATGAATAATATTCCACTGTATGGACAGACCACATGCTGCTTATCTATTCATCAGCCAACGGACTTTTGGGTTGTTCCAACCTTTTGGCTACTATGAATAGTGCTGCAATGAACACTGACATACAAATATCTGAGTCTCTATTTTCCATTCTCTGGGGTATACACCTAAGATTGGGCTTGCTGGGGCTGATGGTAACTTATGTACAACTTTTGGAGGAACCACCAAAGCATTTTCCACAGCAGTTGTATCACTTTACATTTCCACGAGCAATGTATGAGACTGTTCCAATTTCTCCACAGCCTCCCAAATACTTGCTTGTTTTTTAAAATTATAGCCATCCTAATAGGTGTGAAGTGATACTCATTGTTTCTGATCTGCATTTCTGTAAAGACTAAGGATGTTGAGGATCTTTTCATGTGCTTACAGGCCATTTGTATATATTTGTCATGAAGATTTGTCCCTATGCTTTCTTCCAAGAGTTTTTATAGTTCTAGTCCTTAAAGTTAGGTATTTGATCTATTTCGAGTTAATTTTTTATACATGGTATTAAAAAAAGGTCCAACTTCATTATTCTGTGTGTGTTAATATCCAGTATTCCCAGGACTACTTGATGAAGAAACTGTTCTTTCCCCATTGAATGGTTTTGGCACCCGTTTCAAAAATAAACTGACATAGATGTGAGAGTTTCACCCATGGTCTTTGATCACACTATTAGTGAAATTTATTAAGTGGAGAAGTTAAAGCAGAATCAATCAGTGATTTAGCCAAGTTCACATCATTGAAAGTGAAAACACAGAGGTTTAGTCACCCATTCAAGAAAGCAATAGTGGCCCTCCAAACTCTCTGACTACTACTTTATCTTTCTTTTAAACAGCTTTAATGGATATTTAAGTTACATATCAAGTCCACCCATTTGAAGTGGGCAACTCAATGGTTTCTAGTGTATTCACAGAACTACAGTTATCACTATAATCTATTTTTAGACCATTGTTATCACCCCCAAAAGAAACTCTGTATCCATCAGTAGTCACTCTGCAAACCCACCCAATGCTAGGCAACCACTAATCTAATTTATTTCCCTATAGATTTGCCTGTTCTGGATACCTCACACGAATGAAATCATTTCCAAAAAGCGGTCTTATGTGACTGGCTTCTTTCACTTAGACTATTTTTTAGGGTCATTCATGTAACATCTATCCTTTTTAATTGCCAAATAACACTCCAACATAAACGAAATACCACATTTTGTTCACCCGCTCATCAGCTGATGGACATTTGGGTTGTTTCTACTTCTTAGTTGTAATGAATATACGTGTACAAGTGTTTATGTGGACATTTATTCTCATTTCTCTTGCAACTTAATCTTACTGAGCCCCTACTATGTGTCAAAAACATACTAAGCACTGGGAACACAAATATGAAGGCAACAGAGTGCCTGTTCCCAAGGAAAGCGAGTCTGGTACCGTGGACAATAACCCAGTAGATGGGACACACTGTGATAAGTGCTCTATTACAGGTATGCATCAACCACTATGGAAATCAGGAGGAAAAAACAATTTTTTTTCTTGTGAAGTCAAGGAAGTTGAGTTTATTCAGGGTAAGTTAGGAGAGTGACTAGGGACAAGGTTGATAAGAGTTTTTAACATTAAGTCATGGAGTTGGGATTTTATCCCCAAGGCAATGAGAAATTATTTAAAAATTACCACGGAAGAGGAATAAGCAAAGTTAACAATGATTTACTCTGGATCCTGCTTCCCCAACCATGGAAGTCAGGTGAATGCTGATCCAAGCTCAGAGTTACGAATCTGAACACTGGCAGGTGAGACAATCTAAATAAAAATGAACTTCCTGACATGCTCATTAATATCATCCACCCATCTGATTAATGAAGAAAACATTAGTGAGGAAGGATAATTTAAAATGCACCAATTTCAGAAAAGGATCCCCAGTACTGTCACCCTTCACCCCTTAAACGAAGGCATTTGAACTGGTGGCTGATGACATTTTTGTCCTACTCCAGAGCATAGTTTCTCCTTTCTCTGCTAAGCTTTCTTTTCTCTTTTATCTCATAATCAAATAGGCTAAGCACATCAATCACCTCAATCATTCATTCTACAACCATTCATGGATATCTGATGCTCACCATGTGCCAGGGACTGTTCTAGATCCCAGGGCTACAGTAGATGACAAAACAGAATAAAATGCTGCCTTATGAAGCTTAAATCATAGTGGGAGAGACAGACACGAACAGCTCAGTATATAACATATGGCTGCAGAGTGATAAGCATTGAGGTGGCTTACTTTCTTCAGTACTTGCTTTCATTAACCACCAGCAGTCGGACATGAGCGATCCATCTCCACTAAGCAGGCAATACAATAATTTTCAAGGCTAAGAATAACCTAAGTGTCAAAACCCAAAGCCTTTTTCCTTCCATTCTCCTTCTCCTGACCTCTCTGTATCTATGATCTTAACGATCACCTCCTCAAATTCTGTCTCCTGGACCACACTTCACTCTGCTAGCTTTCTATTTCTTTGACTACCAGGCATCTCCTGAGGCTTTACCTATATTTTCTTTCCCCTTTAAATATCTCACTCATTTCCAAAGTTTCAAGTATTTTATCCACACAGATGATTCTCAAATCCATATTTTTGCAAAATTAGTACTCAATGACCAGGAATGGTATACCCTAGGAGAGGCAGACTCGTGCAAGGTCTAGGGAAGAGAGATCATTCTGAGAGCAGGCTGAATGTAAGCAAAAAAACAGATCTGTATTTATAGTTCTGACTACTCATAGTAGGCCAGTCTCAGCCTAGAAGCCCCAGGTTTTAGAGTGCATGAGAATCAGCAGGAAGGCTTGTCGAAATCTCCAGGCTCTAACTCAGTAAGTCTATAGTAAGCTTAGTGATTGTACTTTAATGAATATCCCGGATGATTCTGATACAAGACATTTATGAACTGCCCTTTGAGACACAGTTATAGGAAGCAGGGAAAATGACTCAGAGCAGCTGCAAGGTCCACGGCAATTTTGGGTGGTGATCCATGTGAAGAACGTGTGTACGTGTGTGTTTGGTGGGGGAAGAGGAGAGGCATCTGCGTGCCAGTTTGGGGGTTAACAAGAAGCATGTGTCTCACGGTCCCCTTGGAGTGTTAAGTCCAGGCTGATGAGGCGGTGGCAGACTGGGACTGAGGGATCTGTCTTATGAGATGTCACCTTATTTCCAGACAGGAATTATCTGGAATTAAAAGTGGGAAGAAGGAACTAAAAGATGTAGAGGGACCTTCCATATCATGTCACATCAGCTGGACCAGCGATGAAAAACCTATGGCTTAAAGCGTGCCACAGCACAAGAGTGCCACCTGTTCTGTGGCCCAGTGTGCGGGTGTAAATGCTCCCACCACCAACAGGCTACTTGACACTCCATTTCAGCCCCACCCCATCTTCTCACCTGGCCCACCGCAGCTCCAATGCTCCCAGTTCCATCCACAATTCCTGTGACAGTCGCCAAAGCCTCACTGCTCCCCTGGATCAGCTCTTGGCGACCCAAGTCCGCAGAAATAGCAGAGCTGATCATGTTAGAAGGCCCACCAATAAAAAATCCTGAAGTCATGAACAGAACAGGATCTCATTTAAACACCACTCATGACACCACTAGGAACCTCTGGATAAGGCAAGTTCTTACCCCAATATTTTATCAGTACGTTGGAGACAAAGAGAATAAAGGAAAAAATAACCAGTAAAAGTGGAAATTCTCTCATACAATATTATCCTCAAACTAGTTAGCATTCAATTCTCCAAAATCCCAACCTCAATTATGTGGCATCTAATATGTTTTATAAAAACTAAAGATACAGAAAACACAGTGAACACACAGCCTTTCTAATCCTGGGACGTATGCATTCATTAACTACACTCGCCTGTCAACTTGTTATTGTAGAGTTGCATCATTTGAGCATTTGACTATCCAAATTCAACCAAACATACTGAAAAATAAAAAGAAAAGAGAAAAAGTCATTTAAATAGTGCAGGCAGTTCTATCTGCCACTGCTGGGAGGCTGTCCAAGGATGGAGCAGCAGTTGGTGCATGTGAGTCTGTTCACATGGCTGGCCTCCCGTATCATGAGCAGCTCTCACTATCCTGAGTATGATCTAAAGTTTAGAAATAAGTCATTTTTCTATAATGTGGCCCACAGTTGCATGCAACTGTTTTGTTTGGTGCTTAAGTGAAAAAATCCTGACCAACTCCAACATACGAGGAAAAACTAGCTAAACTGAACTTTCTGAAAGCTGGGGAACTGGTTTCCAATGCACTATCTTCCTAAGGCCAGTTCCAGAATTAATATGAGAAGCAGGGGCAGCAAGCAACACTTTTAGAAAACTTCTGTCAAAAGGGACTGCTTCTGTTAGAGCAGGACTATGCAGGTCACGTTAAGAGCAGAGAAAAAGAATCTGGAGGACACGTCTTCCCCTTCACCACCTGAGTTCTCTAGAATTAAGGTTTTGGTATCATTTAGACTGAGGGAGAAAACAGTTTCATTTTTTGCTCTTTATTTAATAGAGCAATTGTAAGAGAACAGTGAAAGGGCACCTTGTGCCATACCTGTAACAGTCATCAGAAGTGCGTTGATGGACGTATCGTTTGGAGAGCCTGCAAGGAGAGACACAAACACAGCATGCTGACCTTAAAAGCCCCCACTGAACGGTGCCAAAGACCTGGATCTCTGCGCCCTCACACATCACGCCCAGAGACAGCAAAGGGATTCAACACTCTCACCGCCAATTTCAACTTCTATCTGTAATGTCTGCCTCTTGCTGGTGGCTCAAGCTAATGAGACTCCTAAAGCTAAAGAAAAACTCTACTCCCATCTCAGCAGCATCTGAAGGGACATATACCAAGCCTACTAATTACCATCTTTCGTCTTCTGAAAGCTTTTCCCTTTTATTGTTTTATTGGCTCTAATGCTATCCCTCTGGAGCCTACCCTCAAACAAAGCATACACACTCTCCCAGCAAGCTTTTAAACAAACCAACAAAGCAGAAGAGATGCCAGTTTCCTCCCCAGCAAATAAAACTATGTGATCATACTGTCACCGGGCATTTACAGGACAATACAAAGGTCTCATATCAGCCTTTGTAGCTGGCCTTGTGGTGTCAAGATCTCCCTGGGGTTGACCACTAACTCAAGGCAAATGCCTTAGTCCTAATAGATCAGGAAAAGAATTTAATTGCAGGGGAATACTCACGGCTGTATCCAACGAGGGACCCAACTGCCAGAAGCAGACTTAGAGCTAAAACTGGTGCTCTCTTCTGTAATATGTCAGAGATGAAGCCTTGCAAAGTTCCACCTTTAAGTACAGAGTACATCTCAGTCAAAACCGTTCATGATTTAGTTGAGTTACCTGAAACTTGCTCACCATGTACCTCTACCCACTCTCAGGATCCTAACACTGATCTACCAAAAAGATGGCTGACTCTCCTAAAAAGCTGCCTCCATAATTTCCTTTGAGGAAGACTACCTGACTTGTTAATTGCCATGACAGCTGATGGGGACAGAACACCATGAATCTACACGAAAACAAGGAAAAAGCAAAAATCATCAAAACCACTGACTGTCCCCTGCCATTTTCCCTTCTCAAGCCAGCTGTAAAGGCTTTTCTTGATTTTTCTGCTGTTATTTTAAAGGATGAATAATTAAGGACCATGCCTCATAGGCTATTAGTAGCAGCCAATAAGCAGTCACTAAAATTAAAAGCAGCAACTATGGTTTGGTAATAACCAACAGGTCAAGATGTTTAAAAACAGGTAATAGGAATCCTTCAAGCAACACAGTCATTGAGATACAGTCCCATTTGGAGTTCCTGGGGCCATGGGACATCTGGTGAATCCACATCAGACAGCAGGACCCAGAAGTATGGTTAGAGTCTAAAGGAACCAACCTCACCTTTGACTCTGAATCCAAGAATAAGGGCAGACACGTTCAAACACAGTAACAGTACATCACCTAAAGGTACACTGTGTGCTTTCATGCATCCAGGGCAGTTTAGCCTTATCACAGTTCTAAATGTAAATGTACCAGAAAGGACGTAAGGTTTAGCCATAGTCATACCAGTAACACCTACTAAAATGCATTATGTACATCTGCCTTCTACTTAAAAGTTTCTTATTTGTTTAGACTTCCAACCACAGTAAAAGTCACTATTAAAATCAGCTGGGTACAATGAAACAACTGCAACATACAAAAATTAATCCCTATCATTCCAACTTCTGTGATCTGACAATCTATACGCTAAGCTACTATCTTCCCTTCTTTGGCTGTGGGTAGTGGGAAAGTGGGGGAGGTGGATGAAGTGAACACATTCACATTCTTAGATCTCTGACCTACAATTAGCTTTGGAGTCGAGGTACCACTGAAAGTGTATCAAAGGGTTACATCTAAAGAGATCACAGAGGGACACACCCCTGTGCTTCCTAAGACAAAAGAACTGATCTGTCAACAAAGGACTGAGAAAAAAAGGGCCTATAAATCACAGGGCAGCCTCAGGCTGGGTCTTCTTTTTTATGGACTTTTTTTTTTCTTAAGAGTTTGTCTGTTTACTGGTAGAACACTTTAGGAAAAATGGCTGTGGAATAAATAATAAAACTTTAAATGATGCCAGATTTCACCACCCATTAAAATGTTACCAGTGACTAACTCTTTTATTTAAAAAAAGATATGTAACTGGCATTACCTATAATTCCTCCAACATCGTACCAAATGGACAGTTTGTCAGCTTCCGCCTCCTTCCATCCAAAGTTGTTACTCAGATAAAAGGGTAACCAGAAGAAGAAAGAGTAATTCACTAACTTCAAGCAGGCATAGGCCAGTGAATACTGCAAGAAAAACATTCACCTATCAATAGGGAACAAACAGCACAGCATGACCACCATTTTTCATGCAACAGAAAAGCAAAACAAAATAGAGGAGTTTGGGACAAACAGTAGCTGATTTTTAAATTAAACATTTCTACAAATTCCCATCTGCCTGGCTTTACCTAGTCTCTCTCTTCTCTGTGTCCCCATTAGCTTCTAGAAAGACATGGACAGCAGACCTTTGGAATAAAAAAACACATTGACTATTTCTTAATTGGTTCTTCTCCTTTCAGTTCTCTGGTAGAAGCAAACCAGTGTTTTGAACCTATAAGGCAGGGCAGATACTCACAGTTCTTTATTTAGACAAAGACAAAACATATTCATGCCACTAGCTAGCATTAACCATGAGCAAATAAAGTCAGCAAACACCACAGCTTTCATTGCAAGCAGCCAAAGTTTTCTGGTTCTTCTACTTCCTGCAATGTTGATACTGTGAACCATGGAGAGCCATGTGACTAACCTATAGTTTCAAGGTCTAAGAAAAGCATCAACATTAAAACTACTTTCACACTGTAGTTTCCAAAAGCTTTGTATTCTCACATCCAGTGGAAAAGCAAAGAGTACCTTTGGTGAGTCAAAAAGGAAAGAACCTGATCATCACGGGCCTCGTGGCTTTACGAGGAATAAAAGTTGCAGCTGCCTTAAGATGGCAGTGAGGCTAAGTCTCCTATATTCAGCACATTATTACCAGGAAATCCTGACATTAGCATCAAAAGAAAAAAGGGAAAGAACAGAGAGATGGACTTCAAAGGGTGTCTGGCTAGAATATTCTTTTCCCTAGAGCTGCCAGTTATTCCCTAGGTATCACTTGTTTTAAAACAGTTTCCCTGGCAGGGCAATAGCCACCCCCTAGAGAGCCAAATCCCAGTCTCGACTGTGTCGTGTCCACACAGCCTGCTACAAAGACAAAGGAATTAAGTTTACTAGATTTCCTGCACATCCCTGCCTGAGTCAGGGAACAATTGCTTGTGAAACACAAAGGAGTAACAAAAGAGTTCCACATTTAGTCACAAAAAATTTAAGTTCTCTCAGAAATTAAAATGCTACCAGCAGAATACTGTAATAACTAGTTAAAAAATACTAATCATTAGCATAAGAACAGGCCTAATGGAACTTTCATTGCCCTTACATTACATCATCTTTTGGTTAAAGAATTGTGGGATCTCACATTTACATTTTAACTCACACTGAACTATCTCTTTGCAAATTTCAGTTCTCTTAGTTTAGGGGCATAGGTAGAAGGGAACTGATAAGTATGAAATATGACAACCTGAAGACCCTGAATCTAGCTGAGGGGTTATATTCATAAAGTGCCACTCAACAAAAAAATTATCAAAACCGGGTGCTTGTTTACAATACAGTAACTCACCATTACAGACCCTACAGAAGACTGGCATACCTTCTATTCCACGGGAAGGGAAACTGAGACAAAGGATGGGCTGAGTGACTTACCCCAGGCCTCAAAGAGAATTAGTGGGTAAGCTGGAAACATAACCTAGGCCTCTTAACTTCCACTCCCGTGCTAGAGCGCCCAAAACACCAAGACAGAACTGAAGTAGAAGGGATTTACTTCAGACATTAGAAAGTTCTCCCAACTGTAAAGGTTGTGGAAACACTGGAATGTACTACCAAGAAATACTGTGGAGTATTCTGCTCTTAGACCTTTTAATAAAAGGGCAATTTTTCCCCCTGGAATGATAATTATATAGGCAAATAGGCAGTCTTATTGAGCCATTCAAAATCCCTCTTGGTATACATATAATCCTAGAATACTTCAATAGGCCAAGAATGACATATTCAACAGTATGAGTTGTACCTTCTTACTCGAATGCTAGATCAGGATCAGACTAGGGCTCACAGGCCAAATCTGGCCATGCCCAGTTGCTCCATGTTGTTGTTGACGGTGTCATTTGCTCTACAGAGTTTAGTGCCTGTGGCAGAGATCGTACAGTCCCCCCAAAGCTGAAAACGTTTACTATCTGGCTCCTCACAGAAAAGGCCTGCCAACCCCTGCATTAGATGTCAGATGAGATTTCAAGTGGTGCTGGTATAGAAACAAGCTGAAGGGCACTATACAATATTCCTCTAAACAAAAATTCCTAAAACAAAGTATCAAAAATAAACTAAATATTTGAAGATGCTTTATCCCAGGCAGAGTTAATATCTCATCACAGTATCTCACTGGTTGTGGTAAGGAGATCTGAACAGTCCTTACTGGTAGGACTCCAGGAAGACAACAAGCCTGATAAAAGCTTATGGCCTTGACTTGGGTAATAGTACTGTCTTCTTGGATTGAATAATTAGGCTCATATTCGTCTTCATTTTCAGCACCATGAATTAATGGCTTGTGTGAGTCTTCTTCAAAACTTTCCTCTGCCTCAATATCTGGGAGACCTAAAACAGTAAGAGCCACAATTTACAAAGTGCCTTCTTGGTGCCTGGCATTGCGCTAGTGCTTTGCACGTATCATTACTTAGAGGGTCAATATTATTTTTATTTCCATTTTACAAAAGAAGCAAGTAAGGTTCAGAGGTCAAGGTCAACTAAGGTCAATGAGGGTCACAGCCAATGGACAACAAACCCAGAACTCTAATTCTACTTTATCTGGCTTCAAGCAATGCTTTTCAATTACAACACACTATCTCTCTTACACACAAAAAATATTGACTATATACTATTAACCTGATGACTCTCTTTAGTAATACTCCAAAGATAGAAGAATTGTACATGTATTTGCTTCTGTGGTTTTGCTTGTACATATTCTGTATTGAACCATAGGTAAGTATCAAACTAAAATACTTTCATGAAGGAAAAAAAATCTGTCTCAAGAAGTGAAATTAGAAATACATCCATGCTAATTTCTAGTCAGTGTCTCAATTATAAAACTCATTCATAAATGAGGAGTCTCCCCTGATTCTGTAAAAGGTGAGCCTCACTCCCTCAAACATCTGCAGCTGTGCCAGGCATAGCCACGGCGTCCACAGGACACAAATTGCAATACTGCTCCTTTCATTCACTGAAAGCAGCTCACAGTTCTGCTAGGAAGACTGGCTGTCCTGGCCTTAGATTTCTCCTCGCCTATTAGCATAAGAGGTTCTGAACGGAAGAGACAGCTTCTCACCAATTTCTTCTGGTGACACCAGTAGTCCAAAGAAGATGATGATCCCACCAGCAAACTGCACAGCTGCCGTCACCAGAAAGGCATACTGGGGGAGAGAGGACAGAGATGCTTCTTACACTTCTGGGACATGCTTGGAGGCACATGTGGGGAGGAAGGAACACTGGGAGCTTAGCCATGCCAGGCACTGAGCAGTTTTAGTGCAGGTTCCCATTAATTTTTCCTTAAGGCTCAGAGAGGATAATTTAGGTCCCATGGACACTGAGTGGCACTGTAACAACTGTGAAATCAGGACTCACTCCAAAAAACTCACTCCTTTGCACCACACAGCCTCTCACCAGAGACAGTATCTGCCCTCGAAGATTCTATCCAGTTGAAGGAATTAACCAATACACAAAACAAAAATATAAGGCATCATGTAGCCAAATAAATGCGAAGACACAGTCCTAATAAGAAACTTACATAGTAATTTAGAAGGAAGCAGCTAAAGAGATTGGAGTAGTGAGATAAGGTCTAAAGGAAGGGCTAAAAAAGCGATAGGTTGTCTTCCTGGCAAAGTGAAGCAAAGGCACAGGGTGGGAATGAGCCACGGTCAAAGCAGAGAGCATCTGTTGAAGGGAATAAAACTGATCTGGAAAGGTGACATCAAGAATAAAAAATCTCAAAAGCCAGGCTGCCAAGCTGAATTTTAATTGACAGAAAATGGAGCATGAGGTGGACAGACAGTCTGAATTCTTGGACGCGTCAGTGACAAATTAGTGTTTCCAGAAGTCAAATCTGGGAGCAGTGCATAAGGTGAACTGAAATTCCCACCTGAACCAATTAGTACAATCCAGGTGCGATGCTAAGGAGCCTAGAAAAGGCGACTGTGAACAGAGGAAGGACTTTTCAGTGACCCTGACTGAGACCAAATACTTGGTGAGCTGTTTAAAAATTTATCTATTTTTTAAAAGAGCAATGTACTTACCTTTAATTATTTAGAATTTTGAATAGGCAATACATTCAATTCACATGATCCAAGCAACAAAAAGATATATATATAGTACAAACTTCCTCCCGCCCCTTCTCCCACCGCTCAATCCTCATTTTCCCAACACATAGCTATTGCTGTTATTTAATTTTCACTTCCCAGAGATTGTTTTGGAAATATACAGGCCAATATAAATATATACTCTTCAACCCATCCTCCATTTTTACACAAATGGCATCATTCAACAAACAGTTTGCCCCTTTGCTTTCTTCACTTAACATACCACCCTGCTCCTTCCCTATCAGCCCACAAGAGCCCCTAATTCTACCTGACAGCTGCAGGAACAGTCTATCATAACAGTTTGCCCCTTTGCTTTCTTCACTTAACATACCACCCTGCTCCTTCCCTATCAGCCCACAAGAGCCCCTAATTCTACCTGACAGCTGCAGGAACAGTCTATCATAGCTTGGCTATTTCCCTCGTGGTTGACATTTGTTTATCAAGTTTTTGCTATCACAAACAATGTGGAACAGAAATGGCCACGTAGATGCTGGCTTTGTGCATACTGAAGTACATTTGCCTGTGGGACTAAGTCCTGGCATTGGAGCTGCTCTGCCAGAGCAGCTGTGATTCTGACAGACAGTCCCATGTTGACCCCAGGAGGGGTTAGTTCCTTTCCCGGCCACAATGCCTTTATGTTCACATCCTCATTAACACAAATTATTATCAAAGTTTAGGATGCTCACCAATCTAACACACATATAGTACAGTTCTTTTGCTTGCTTGCTTTTCTTCTTTCTTTCTTTGTTAGTGTAGTTTTAATTTGCATTTCTCCACCAATGAATACCAAGCTCCATAAAGGCAGAGATTTTTGTCTTTTTTGGCCAGTGCTCTATTCTCTACTGCCTAGGGGCACTTAGAGGAGCTTAATAAATATTTATTGGATGAATGAATAAGTTATGAGTGAAGTAGAGTATACCATCCTATGATTACAAGCCATTTCTATTTTCTTTTCATGAACTACACATTCAAATTCTTTACATTTCTTTATGCATGTTATTGGTCTTTTTCTTATTATTTGGCAGGTGCTCTTTAAATAATATATAAAGATTATAGCTTTATAAGGACATTAGCTCTTTATTTGTAACATGAGTTGCAAATACTTTTCCCAGCTGATTAAGTTGCCTTTAGACCTGGATGCTTTCCCATGAATAGTTTTCTTATGTGCTTGAATTAGTCAAAAGTTTGTCCGCTTTTAATACAAGCTGTGCCCCACCCAAATACAGTTCTAGGAAGTCTTAAATGGCCAATATAATTACCTAAAAAACAAAATGCTTATATACTCAAGAAAAAGCTAGAAAGAGATACATACCTCATAACCATACTGCAGAACAGAAGAAGCGAGGCATGCTCCCAAAATATTGCCCACTGAAGCACAGGCACTCCAGAGACCAAAAACAACACCTCGTCTAAGACAGAGAACAGTGGAAAACCAGACAACAGCATGAGAAGGGGTTCTTGTGCAGGGCAATTACAAAATGGCCAAAACACTACATGTTCACATTACAAAGAATCAACATTTTAATATTTTTTTAAAGTATACCCAAAAAAGTCTCTCCTAACTCTAAGATTTTATTATACTAAAGTTCAATTTGGGGCTCACTGAAAAACACCATTAAGAGAATTCAAAATGTAAGTCACAGATTTGGAGGAAATATTTGTGTATCACTGACCTGGAATATAAAGAATCCTCAAAACTTAATATGAAACAAATAATACAATACAATGTTAAAGAGTATGAATCTAAATAATCTCAAAATAAAAAGACTTTGAAAGGGGGCAAAAAAATTTATTAGATACTTCACACACAAAGTATGATAAAATAAGTGTATGAAAAGATGCTCAACATAATCAGACATAGAAATGCAAATTAAAACCAAAATGAGCTATCACTACACATCTACTAGAATAGCAAAAATCAAAAAGACCAAGTATTGGCAAGGATATAACAGCAACTAGGATCCTTACACTCTGCTGGTGGGAATGTAAAATGGCACAACCACTTTGGGAGAGACCGCCAGTTTCTTAAAAAGATACCCATGCACTTGCCGTAAGACCCAGCCATTCTACTCCAAGGTATTTATCCAAGGGAAAGGAAAGCAAATGATGTCCATACATCAATTTGTACACAAATGTTTATGTAGCTTCATCTGCAGCAGCCAAAACTGAAAACAACCCAAGTGTTCATCAACGGGTGAACAGATAAACAAATTGTGGTACAGTAGTTACTACTCAGCTACACAAAGGAATGAACTATCCACAACCTGAATGAATCTCAAAAGAAGTATGCTGAATGAAAGAAGAAAGGCAAGAAAGAATACATACTATATATTCCATTTATGTAAAATTTTAGAAAATTCACATTAATCTAAAGTGACAGCAGATCAGTAGTTGCCTGGAGATTGCAAGGGACAAAGAGAGAGGTGGTAGGAGGGATGGGGGACAGGAATTACCAAGGGGCGTGAGGAAACTTCTAGGGGTGATGGGGTCATCTGAATTGTGATGATGGTTTTAAGGGTGCATGCATACCCAAATTCATCAAATGGGACATTTTAAACATGTGCAGCTTATTGTATACCTCAGTAAAGCTGTTAAAAAAAATCGATGGGTAGGTAAAGACTCCAATGGAAGGGTCACTAGCTATTACAATAGTCCTAGAGAAAATGATTAGCTCTGAATATATGCAATGGCAGTAAAGCTGGTGAAAGAAAAAGGAGTTAAGAAAAGCTAATTTCTTAATGTTCAAATTTGTATTTTATTCTATTTGATACATATTAATAACATGTTGTGTTTAGGTCTAGATTTTTTAGCTCTTTGAACATTTTTATAACCTCACTGAGACAGAAGGAATCTTAGAAATGAACAGGGAGACAGCACTGCATGGTGAAAAGTAAGATCTGTTCAGAAGTCCTGGTCTGCTGCTTCCAGCTGTGACATCTCAAGCAAGGCACAGCTAAGGCTCAGTGTTCTAGTGGAAAATACTAACTGTGCCCCTCAAAAGACTGAGTACATGGATCTGTATGAAAGGGCTTGGTGCTGTGCAAGTGCACATACTGTATTACCCTAAGTGGGCTTTAAAAAGTAGGACCCTGAGAAGACAGTGTAGAACAGAGAAGACAAGTAGTGACTCTGTGGCATCTTATTACACTGATGGACAGTGACTACAATGGGGTATGAGGGGGACTCAATAATATGGGTGAATGTAGTAACCACATTGTTTTTCATGTGAAACTTTCATAAGAGTATATATCAATAATACCTTAATAAAAAAAATTATTAAAAAAAAGTATGACCCTGACAATTGAGAAGGGGCAGGACTCACTGATCCAAGCTAACAGTTTTTAAGGCAATATCCTCAGTTGGTCACTTAATTCCCTGGGGCCCCAACTTCTTTCACCTGGAAAAGAAATAATTTGACCTATGTAATCTCTATGTTCCTCCCCAGTATTAAAATGCCCCAATTTCCTAAAATACACAAAACCTACAGGAGGACCCAGGAGGAAAGAGTTGGAAGGTCAGGCTCTGACCAGCACTGGCTGACCAAAGACATGATTTTAGAAGAAAATGGCTGAAAATAGCCATGATTCTAAGTTGTCATAGTCTTATTGATACTTTTTGGTTTACTGTTATGCTTCAGAGGAAAAGTCACTGTGTCTCAAGCAGCACATCATCAATTTCACTTAATAGCGCTATTCATTTAAAAATAAATTGTCCCACTTTCAAAAACAAACTGTAAAGGCTTTCTTGAATTTTTTTCTTTGTGACTGATCCACAGAAACAATGAAATGGTCAGCCTGTCCAGTCACTGCCATCAAACACCCAGTGTCATCCAATTTATAAAAGGTCACATAAGAATTATCTCAAAATGATATGTGTCAAAGTGATTATCCTTGAGTGATAGGATTTCAGGTGGTTTTGATTTGTTCCTCTTTGTTCATTTGTATTATCTGGCTTTTCTACAATAAGCAAGTGGATTTTATATAATTTTCAAAAAACATGGATGAAAAAAATTACCTGAAAAAATTAGTAAAAATAACCCGTATACAAGCAGACACCTACACCAAATGAAAACTAAAATATCATAAGGGAACAAACACCTCTTAAAACCAATTGTTAAACCAGAGATGCTAGAGTGAAACAGAAACCACTAGCACACTGACATACAATCACAGCATTCTCATTGAGTGATGCTTGTTCGAACCACAAGACATTTTATAGCTGAACTTTCACAACATGACAGATCATTAGCCAGAAAGCATCATTATTTCCATTATGACACTGGGGAAACCTGAAAACAGAGAGGGACTGGTCAGAATATGCACTCATCACCATGGTGGCAATAATGTCTGAGGCATCCTATTTAATAGAGTATATAAACAAAAAAGAACCATCAATGATATCAATGTGTATCTCACAGCATATAAATATTTACCCAGGAAAAAGGATAGAAATCCAAAGTAATAATATTCTTGAAATCAGAGTGTCACAACAATTTTAAACAATAAAGTCAAGTCTTTGGTATCTCGACTTATTTTCCATCCTGTAAATTAGGTATATGGTTCTTCTTCCTGGGGGCCTAGAAGATACTTTATCAGACACCCATCCTCATGCCACAGCCCACACCACACACAAACTCATATATAATCTGGTAACTATTTGAAGGTTTAGGGAATAAATGTCCAATGTGGGCTTTTAAGCCCCCAAGTTTGGCATTCTTCATCTTCATCTTATTAGTGCCTTTGTTACGACACCTTAGGCAAGACCCATGAATAACGTTTGGCCTGTTTCCTTATCTTTAATGTAAGAAAGTTAAACTAGATCTCTGAGTCTCAAAAAAGGGAAGAGAAGGCCAAATCCACAGAAAGGTACATGGTGGGATGGCATGTGAGATTTATCTTATCATGTTATATTATTTATGCTCTCTCACGGGAAGATTTTTTTTTTTAATTGAGAGATGTACTGCCTCAGCCACACTCAAAATCCCATCATGACCAGGAAAGTGTCACGAATGCATCTCCCCAGGCTACATCATCCAGAAGGTTGCACCACTTCTAATATACTTTGATGTGAAATTGTTCCCTGAACTACTGTAACTTTCTGAAATCGTGGGAAGATGTGGTTAGTGTTGAAGGGGTCAAGTTAACTGATGACAAATCTGAAGAATCCTACATTAAAACTACTTGAAAACAGAAATTAAAGAGGAAGGAAGTAGCTTACCCAGCTTTCCCAAACCAGTTGCCCATAACAGCAACCACACAGGGCCAACCAGTGGATTGCAGCAGGCCGTTCACAATCCACAGGCAGCAGTACAGGCCCTTGTTGTAGAAATGCAGCCACTCTGTGAGAGTGCCAAAGACAAACACCTAAGGGAAGACGGAAGAAAAAGGACATGTAACATCCACCTGGACACTCGTAGCAGCCTTGCTCACCATTCACGTTCCCGCATGAAGGGACTCCAGGAACCAAATGTCAGGGGCCCAACAGCAGTGTGGCCAACTCTTCAGATGCTTCTGCTCGGAGCAGCACTGAGCAGGTGAGACGCCACTAAGCCACCACTGACTGGAGGGGCAAAGATGCCAAACAACATAACTCATGATGATCAGCCCTCCAACTTATACCTTCAATGGTAAAAAGTAAGTCCGTGCTGTTCAACCTCATTTTACAACTACTGCCATTCCCTCTTCCTCAGGTCTGTGCTGTGGGAAATGAGTGCATGTTTGTACATTTGGCCAGCCTGATGCCCACACATTCCCAAATAACTGGGAAGCACCCGTGTTATTTCTGCAGCTACTAAGTGAGCCAATGTGACTTGTGATCTGCTCAATCATTCAGTAGCATTCATCAAGTGACTGCTTTTTTCCAGGCATTTTGCTCAAGTGGATACTTTATTTGTAGTCAAAAAATGGTTATGTATAATACTTATGGTTCCAGTTACATGACATTCTGGAACAAGCCAAACTCTAAGGACAAAAAAATCAGTGGTTGCCAGAGGCTGGGGGGAGAGGGTGGTGGTAGCACATACCAAAAAGGATGAGTTTATGTACATCAGCTTTTCAAAAATGTAAAAAACACAAAATCTGTTTATATGTTTTAAATTGTATGTATAGGTGTAGATGAGCAGCCTGTGATTAAAGTGCTTCAATCTCTAAAATGCAGACACTGAAAAACAGTAGTGGGGTCTAAACTCCATGCTTTTATTCAATCAGTAAACATTCCTCATTAGAAGACAGGAAGGAAAAAGAAAAAAAAAAAAGACTCAAATATGGATCTTGCTTGCCCTCTATAGACAGGCATTGTTCCAAATGCCTCACGGTGACTCCTATAACCCTGTCTACAGCCCCTGGTGGAGGTATTCAAATGCGGAAGCTGCAGCTGAGAAATCATCGCTAGGAAACTGCAGAAGAGGGACTGAATCGCAGGCTGTCCAGGCCTCAGGAAGCCCCTGATCTTAGCCACTGTGCTACACACTACAAGGGGAAGCAAGGCCAACACAGCAGTAAGTAGGCCAAGTAGTAGACAGTGTAAGTGCCTGCAAAGAAATAACCAGTACAGGAGCTGAGAGAGGGAATGGTTCCTCCCAGCCGCGGTGTCCGTGAAGTCAGGCTTTTATGAAAGAAGTGTCATTTGGCCAATGACTTGAAGGAGATGCTCAGTTAGACTATGGAGAGCTGAAGACAGCCACTTGCGGCAGGAGGAACAGGAGCAAAAGCACCGGGGCAGAAAGGAACCTGGCATGCTAGGGCCAAGGAAAATAGTTTAGCTTGGCCACCACAAGGTGGTGGGGCACACTGACAGACGCGGGCCGGGAGCAGGTTCGGCAGAGCACTAGTGCCATGCTGTTTATGCTCTCTCTGACTTCACCGGTGAGGTGACTGAGTCAAGGAAGGGCGTGATCCAACTCATACTTTAGAAGTCTCCCTAACTGAAAGGCACACAAAAGGGATCGGGAAAATGAAGAGTAATTTTACTCTTCTATTCTACCTATAAAAGCAGGGGGGATTACTTGGATTCTAAAACATCTGGCCAAAATAGTAACAATAATAATAATAATATCTTTCCGACTTACCACTAATGCAGAAGAGCACATGCCAAAAGACAGAACCCATCGTAAATTAAGCCGATCTCCAACAATACCACTGATGAAAAGGCCCTAAAAACACAGCGTTTTATTTTACAACTCTGAAAACAACACAGCCTGAACAAGTAAAATGCACTGCAAAGCAAATGAGACACAAAACACTGAGATAACTTAAAAGTAAACCTCATCCTCATGCCTAGATGAGCTGTCTGTATCAGTTTCACAAATGTCTCATGAAATGACAATGGGCTTCTGCACACTACACTATAAACATCTAATGCACAAGTAAGTCATCACCATCTAGTGGAAACTTTGGTTCTACCTCATCCCCTAACTTCCTAAATGGAGACTGGAAAAAAAACCCAATAATTCTAACAAAACAAGCACATAAATGTATTTCATTTTCTAGAACAAATACTCCTAGGCACCAGTTATCTGCTTACCCAAAGGGATTCCTCCTGGCCATTTGCATTCTGAATTAAGATGTGTTACATGTCCTGCAGAACAGAAGCTTCTGGGACACATGCACTGCCTGTTTAATCTGACCCTTGGGTTTCATGACATCATGAGGCAGGGAGAGGAGGGAGGCAGAGACAATAATTAGCTGAAGATGGTTACAAATGTCCTGCATTCTGCTCTCCTCCCTATGAGTAGCAGAAATTAAAATGCTGAGGTCATGGCAGCAAGGCAGACTAGAACCAAGACACCATATTTTAGGTTTCTTTCATAAATATGTAAAAGGAATAAATACTGTGACTATAAACCTAAATTCATTAGAAGACAGGAAGGAAAGAAGAAAAAAAACAAAACTCAAATATGGATCTTGCTTGCCCTCTATAGACAGGCATTGTTCCAAATGCCTCACGGTGACTCCTATAACCCTGTCTACAGCCCTTGGTGGAGGTATTCAAATGCGGAAGCTGCAGCTGAGAAATAATCGCTAGGAAACTGCAGAAGAGGGACTGAATCGCAGGCTGTCCAGGCCTCAGGAAGCCCCTGATCTTAGCCACTGTGCTACACACCACAAGGGGAAGCAAGGCCAGCACAGCAGAGTAAGTAGGCCAAATTCAGATATAAGTGTTTTTAGTAAATGGACTCTATCTATACTAGAGAATATTTAGATGATGTATGTCATAATAAATGTCTCTCCCTCACAAGTGTCAAGCTTTCACTACCTCAAAAGAGATACCAGTAAGCATTAGGTTCTATGTTCGATAGCAGTCACTCACGCGCTCTCATGCTACATACAGTAAAGGGGGTGAAGAAGAGCTCTCAAATATGTTCCAGATTACAGAATCAATTTATTCTGTTGCTCCAAATGCCTGTACAATGCCTGGAAGGTACAGAAGGCGATGCAGCTCAATACACAGAACTGTGATAGCTGATTCTTCATGGCACTTATCTTTCATCTCCTAAACCGATATAATCCTGCAGGTAGGTATTACTATCATAACTCTGTAAATGTCAACAGAAGGTTAATACCATTTCAAAACCAAGTTTAACATAGCTAGTGGACAGTGGCAGATGTGGTCTTTCCAGCTTCTTAAAATACTCCATGGAAGGCTTGGAGAGAAGCATTACTGGACTGCTCCAGCCTAAGACAAACGACTATACATTGGGATTTCGAACAGAAAACACCCAGGGAAGTAGTGAGGCTAAATGACCTAAGATCTGCTCCAACTGCTTCTCTAAGTTTCCTCTTTGAAGAAAAGAGATGCTAATAATTACCCAAATGAACACTTAGAGATGACTTTGGGACTTGCACCCAGTATTTTTCACATCACATGGACATTCATAAAGAAAAGACTTTTTATAACATTTTAAAGAGGGAAGATAATGCTAGAAGAAAAGATGTGACTGCTCCTTCAGTGCATGGCTCCCGCTGTTGCCACTGGCCCCACAGCTCTAATTGAGCAGCCACCAGAGTTCCCTACAACCAGACAGAGATTCTGGCAGCCCAATCCCGAAAGTCCACCTCAGACAGTAAGTTAGCCCCTGCCCTCCTAGCATGGCTCCCAGTATACCAGCCCCCGGAGGCTCTCCTCCTTTCTGCCCCCCTCAGCCTCCCCTGCCATTCCTCATCCTCCTGCCCTCTAAACACTGGAAGCCCTACAGCTCAGCTGTCCCTCCTCTCCCCCATCCTCTCCTACCTCCTGATGATTTCATCCAGGCTCAGAATTCTGAAAGTCATCTATATGCTAAGGACTCTGAAGTCTGAACCGCCAGCCTGAACCTGACCTTGAACTCCAGAATCATAAACGAGTGTCTACTCTTCGTCATTTGGGCAATAATAGTATCTCAAATGTGACATTTCCAAAAGTGATTTCTCCCAAAGCCTGCCCTTCCCCCAGTCCTCAACTCCACTGTGACGCTTCCACCCGTGAGTTGTCCTTCACACCTCTCTTTCTCTTATAGAACATGTTGAGCAAAGAAAAATGTTATTAGCTCTACCTTCAAAGCAGAGCTAAAATCTCCATCTTCTACCTTTATTCCTGCTATCCTTGGAACCAAGGTACCATCATCCTTCACCTCAAAATTAGAATACTAACTCATCTCCCTGTTCTCCCCTACAGACTAGTCTCCTAGAGAGTCAGGTGCACCCCTCCTGATGTAAGCCAGATCCTGACACTCCTCCGTGCAAAACCTTCCAGGGCTCCCCTCTCACTCAGGGTTACAGCCAAAGCCCTGACCAAGGCACCAAAGCCCTACAGATCTGAGCCCCATGATCTCTTCAGCCTCACTCCTGCCACTCATACCTGGTCACAGTGACCTCACTTACCCACATCAGGTCTTTGTTCAAATAATCTCTTTTTACACAAGGGCTGCCCCAGCCACCCTACTTAAAACTACAACCCATCCAGGGCTATTTATTCCCTTTTTCCTGCTTTAATTTTCTCTACAGCATTTACCACTTTTAAATATGCTCCATAATTTACTTATTTATAACACTGTGTTACTACCCAGCTCCCTTAGTACCCACCCCAATATAAGCTTTATAAAGGTAGGGATTTTTCCTGTGATACTCACTAATGACTACTACTAGGAAAGTATCTGGCACCGGTGCTCAATAAATATTTATCAAATGCATGGATGGATGGTTGGGTGGCAAGGGCACAAGATATACACATCAGCAATATTGAACTCTCCTCAGCCAGCAAATTCAAAGTCCTTCATGAACTTCAAAAGGTTTAGAGTCATTTCCTTTTACATCTTTCCTCAACTTAAAACTTTAGAATTCTAAAACTTACCACTGCATAGGAGAAGAGGAAAATAGTATCCAGTGTTCCAAGGAAAAGAGTGGCTTCCTCTGCACTGGGAAACAAACGGTTGCTGCTCCAGATCTGCAACAAGAGCAAGTCAGTCCCTGCTGGTGTCTGTCAGACTTTGTTTCTCATACAACCTCTGCCCACCCTCTCGGAAACCTGGTGATGTTGAAAAGTGATTTAGCACTCCGTAGATAAGGCAACACAATGCAAAAAGGTCCACAAGGTCAAAACTATCTGCATAACACTGAAACGTTATCTGCTTTTTCCCTTTGACTTGTCCATTGATGGTGCAAAAGTAGTGGTGGGTGAAACTCCTGTGCCTTAGCATGAATCACAAGTTACATCCCCTATACCAGTAAGCACTGTATACTTTATTTCCACACTCCCAGCTTTAAGCCAATTTCACATAATATCCCTGGCACATGCTCAATGCTCACTAAATATTTGCTGAGCAGTAAATATTATTAATTTTATTAAATCTGGCCCGAGTCCACTTCTTTTTTAATATTCTGTGTGACAAGGTAGAAAGCATAAATAAAGCACTTCTGTCAACCAAAGTAATACAGCTTCTTGAGGAAAAGCACCTGCACAGTTGGGTGCACTGCAGACAAGCGACAATTATTCAGATTTGGGTATTTGGCAGATATGCATACTTTCTGCTTCATCACACAGAATATTAAAAATAGTGTACTTGGGGGCTAGATTAAATAAAATTAGTAATTTTTATTGCTCAACAAATATTTATTGAACATCTAGCATTTCAGCATGGCAACTAGAGCCTTAAATTTCTCCAATTAGAGTTATTTTGCCACATTTTCTCCTGCCCACAATCTTTGTCCCTGATGTCATATGGTTTCATTAGGACCCAGGACTAAGCCCCGTTTGGCACATATCAATGTGAGCTAAAGACAGGGGCCTCAAGCTGCTGGCTCTGTCTCAGGGGGTTCTCTTTACTCTCTCAAGTCACCAAACTTCCTGCAGGTGTGACTTTCACAAGAACTGATAAATTTTAAACAGCTTTTCTCTGTTTTACTGCCAG